TATTTAGATATATATTTCTATTTTATTCACTGAGGTGTATTTCTATCCAGATACAATTTCCTGCTCTGCACCTCATCGTGGCGTGAGGGTGAACGTCTTTGTATGGCCGACGCAGAGAGTGGGGACGGTGGACCGAAAGAGCAAAGGTTTATAGACCTATATTGGGTAGAAATTTTTTTAGAAGATTTTAGAAGTAAATTGTTGCTTTTAATTGTGTTGAAATTTAGATTTTTCCGTGTTTCAATGCGCAGCGAGAACGAAATCCCTGAGGATTCTGAGAAGTATTTTGAGAAAGCCCGAAAAGAACGGGAGAGATTTTGCAACGAAAGTCACTTATGAGAGTTGTTGCAGAATACCAATAATTCCATCGTCGTATCGAAGCTGATGATAATTGTTCTTATTTTCGACTATTCTGTTGCTTGAATGAATGAAGTCTTATTTTGTTTTATAACCGTCGTAGAACAGCTGGCCCAATTTTGAGTTTATGACTACCAATGTTTAACTCCGTAGCCTGCAATTTTGAGCCCAATCCAAAAGACAAATGAACTCAAGTATTGGTAAAAATTTGCATTCGAGGAGGTCTTTTTGATGGAACTATATAGTCTACTATATAGGAACTATATTTTTGTAGTCTAGGAGCATTTGCATTACTAGGAGAGAAAACTTTACATTTAAACCCTCAGGGTTAGCCTGATGGCTAAGGGACTCTAACCCATGATCTCTCTACCACTGTGAATATTTTGAGTCAGCACTGTGGAATTCGCATCAACCGGTCACTGCGGGGATTCGAACCCGGGTTATCTCATTAAGAGGTTAGTTTTCTATGTCTTGAGTCACCACGACTAAGTGACACGAAACGGCTGCAGCAAGGAGCTGAATGAGCACTAAGCGAATGAATGAAGTCAAACAAAAAGAAGTCTAAATAAAAAAAGAAAGAAATTATAGGCCATTAAAAGAAACAAACTAGTTAGCAAGCTTTAAGAAATAACAGAACACCTAGTAACCCATAAAGGAAGAAAACTCTGAAGACATTAAGGAAAAAATAAATGCCTCCGAACTTAGGCTCTGGGTGAAGAGTCTGAAAAAACCACAAAAGGAAGGAGTTCTGACAAAGTGGAGTCAAAAAGAGAAGTTGTAACGTTCACTAAGGTATTTTTTTAAAAAAATGTTTTAAATTAAAAATGTATTTGTAAAGAGCCTTTAAAAAGAAAAACAAATTTAAAATATTCGAGGTAGAAGAGATTATGACTCAAGAAAGCTTTGATTCCCTCTTGTAGGAATGTAACAGAGAACTAAATAAGGAAAGTGTTGAGATTTTTTTCCGAATTAAAACACAAATAGGTGTCTACTGGGTTCTGACACTCGAACTGAAATGTTTGAAAAAAAATCATTAAAAGAGCAATGTTAAATTTAGGCTGGAGATGCGACAATGTCAAGGATTACCTAGCAGCACTGCGCTGTTATAGTTTGGAACACACGGAGGACGACTGTTTAAACGACGAGACCTGCTCTAACGGTAACGAGACTGGAATTTTCTGGCTTTAATGAAGATTTTACGAAACCCCTCAGCCTTGGGATGTTCAGGGGGTGGCGGAGTGGCTGCTGTCGGCCCGATTTTAACCGTACTCAGCCGCTGGATTGACACTGTCACCCTTTGGGACAGAGGCTTGGTGTCTGATTTTGGCAATCTTTCCCTGCTCTTGGACATGACCTGGGTGCTCTTACAATTCGTAACGGGGCTTTGTGCTACGAACTGCTTAATGCTTGTGCTGACGTAGGGTCGCTCTCGCGTCATGATTCATACTGTTATTTGGGGAATGAGCTCTTTCAGCTCGGAGCACCTTATTCAAATTATTACTGTGGTGTATTTCTCTAGGGTTTGTACGAATTTCCAGGAGCGAAAGATTAACCGAGAACAGAGAGGCGTCATCTATAGCTCTGCACTAATACCATACATGGGAAAGCATGTTTGAATACAATTAAATTAAAATTACTAAATAAAATAATTTAAAGTACAAACATACAGCGTCTCCCCTCTTCAGCGGACCGTGACAAAAGTGTCAAGCAATGACCTGTCCATGGGGATAAAGAACAGCACTGCATATAAATATATATTTTACCAAACATTGAAATAAATTCAAGAACAAGAGAAATTTTGAGAAACTGCAATATTTGAGATAAACAGTAATTTATTTTGAGAAATATACTTTTGTCTTCAATAACAACCGGCATGCTTAAAGAATGTACATCTAAATATTTCAAGAAATTAAATAAAATAAAAAACGATTTAAAAAAAATAATAGAAAATCAACTGAAAATAATAAAAGAAAACGATAAACTAACTCTTGAATCAAACTAGTGGTTAATTTTTCTTGCCGTAGCATGGCGCTACAAACGCTGTGGCCAGAGCGTTGTCATATTGGCACGCATTTATAAATTTCGCTTTGTCAAAGCGTGTCTTCTATTTCTCTAATATTATTTATTGCTCTCTCTCTTTTAATTTGCATAAGAGTGAAAACATATATTTCTTTAAGATCGGCTACATTAAAAAAGTAACGCCTACTTTTTACTCAGAAGGCTTTACAGATGCGAGATTGAGGAAGGAAAAGAACACAATTAGTGCATAAGAGAAAAAAAAAGAAGAAAATCGTTTCCTTAAAAGAAATTCATTTTTAGTAGGGGGCATGGTTTTCTTAGACGACCAGCAACGTTAAACACCTTTGAGGTGTCGAATCAATGA